GGCTGATAGTGAGCCTCTCCCTGTGTCTGGAAGCCTCCCCCGTGATACGCCATGTAGGGACTTCCTCCGGTGACATGGTACGGAGATTGCCCCTGGAAGGCCGGAGGTTGATGGAAGTCTCCCTGGTGTGGAAGAAATCCTCCTGTTTGTGCGTAGTTCGTTGTAAAGCCACCATGCGGAGTTGATGGTCCTCCTTGCTGCGGAGGCGTCGGCAGAAGTGGCTGTTGTCCTCCATCGTTTTGGTGATAAGGCTCCCCATGCTGTAGAGGGAGCTGTCCTCCAGGTGGTCCTCCTTGCTGTTGAGGCGGTCCTCCAGATGGTAGAGGCGGCTGTCCTCCCTGCAGTTGAGGCGGTCCTCCAGATGGTAGAGGCGGCTGTCCTCCCTGCAGTTGAGGTTACTGAGGAGGTAATCCTCCCGGCGGCGGAGGAGGCGGTCCTCCCTGCGATAGAGGAGGCGCTCCACCCTGCTGTTGGGTTGGCTGAGGAGGTAATCCTCCCTGACCTAGTATTATCCATAGTTGCTGCGTTCAACGGCCACGCAGGGTATCCCCAACCACACGGGCTGCATCCCTCTCATCGAAGTATACTTGATAGGCGTGCGAGGCCCACGACACCGAGCATTTCCTTTGTTTCTTCCGGGGTTGCCTGTCCCTGGGATCACTATACTCGTACTTCCGTGACCTCGTGGGAGCTACCGGGCCTTCAATAGCAACGTCTGCCTTACGGGTCGTAAAGTATTTTCGTCCTCCCCTAAGAGCAGACAACAAAATCCGTCGGTCATCATCATCATCATCCGTATTCTCTGTACTCCCTCCCCCAGCAGAAGATGTAAACAGCTTCGGTTGGAGTGGTTTGTTGTCGAACGTGACGGTAAATGTTGTGGTTTCTTTTTGCTGTTTTCCTTCATAATGTTTCCGGATCACCCTGCCTTTGACGGTCATGGTGCGGGTGTAAGACGTGTCGGTGATGGAATCTATGTTTTGCACCTGACACAAAATAAATAACCGGTAAGGGAATATGGTAACGACAAGGTGTCGAAATGAGAATATGCCACCCGTGTCCGAAGCAAGTCATGGAGGATCGTGATGTAGCACCCAGTGTGACGACATAGTAGTAGTAATAGTTAAACGTATTATCTGTTGTCCTCCATCGTTTTGGTGATAAGGCTCCCCATGCTGTAGAGGGAGCTGTCCTCAGGTAGTCCTCCTTGCTGCCGAGGAAGCTGTCCTCCCTGCTGGTGGGGTTGCGAAGAAAGCAGTCCTCCAGGCGGTCCTCCTTGCTGTTGAGGCGGTCCTCCCGATGGTAGAGGCGGCTGTCCTCCCTGCAGTTGAGGTTGCTGAGGAGGTAATCCTCCCGGCGGCGGAGGAGGTGGTCCTCCCTGCGATAGAGGAGGCGCTCCACCCTGCTGTTGGGGTGGATGAGGAAGTAATCCTCCCGGCGGCGGAGGAGGCGGTCCTCCCTGCGGCAGAGGGAGCTGCCCTCCCTGCGGTTGGGGTTGTTGGGGGGACATGACTCCAGGCGGTAGCGGAGGCGCCACTCCCGGCGGCAGAGGAGGCGGTCCTCTCTGTTGCGGGGATTGCTGAGGTGGCGGTCCTCCCCCCGGCGGAGGAGGCGGTGGAGGCGGCGGTCCTCCCTGTTGCGGGGATTGCTGAGACAGCAGTCCTCCCGGCGGCGGAGGAGGCGGCGGAAGGGGTGGTCCTCCCTGCGGGTGCTGGAGCTGCTGATTGTTCATGTTGTCTGTGTCCTGGAGCATTAAACAGTATATCAAATCATCACTCCGCATGCTCGCCAATGGTGGTATCCCACCTTTAGAGGCGCTTATGAGGAGTAACGGACCACTGTTAACAATTTCCATGATACAGCCACTATGAACAAGCGTTCTTTCCCCTGATCGTGAACAGGACGGTCAGTAGCATCCTCCCATACACACAGTACCAAAAAAAAAATAAATAAATAAATTTGGGAGGCGGCGTTTGCTCCACATACTGTATTGTGACAGAGCAACATGATAACGTTCAAGGTGTCGAAATGAGAATATGCCACCCGTGTCCGAAGCAAGTCATGGAGGATCGTGATGTAGCACCCAGTGTGACGACATAGTAGTAGTAATAGTTAAACGTATTA